TTCCCTTTCTCCCCCCCCCCTGCCTTGTATCCTTTTTTTTTTTTTTTTTTTTTTTTTATCCTCGTCCCGATGAGGATTCTCATCCCCGTCAACTCGTATTTTACACACGCAGGATCGAATTCCCCCGTTCAACGATCGAATTTGAACGTCACGACGCGAGAGAAGACTCGCATTATCCCGGTTTTTATCCCGGGCTGGTTATAACTTCGGATATAAATAGAGGGTGGCTCGGGGTGGAGCGAATGTGTGTTGGTAAATAATAGCAGGACACGATCGAAGTAATGTATTAAAGTATTTACGGACGCGTGCGGCGCAAGAAAACGAGACGACGCGTTTCTCTCTTTTTCGGTGTCGCTTAAATAAATTTCTCGCGTCCTAGACTCGCTCGTGTTCCCGTTTTTTGTTTTCTTTTTCGGTCGAAAACACACGGAACCTCTCGTTATGTCGTTGCACATTTTCGCGCGCGCGCGCGCGCGTGCAAACTGCCGCGCGCAAATTGACAGGAAATTAAAAACTCGGTTCGCGCCTAATCGAGAAAACTGTTTTCTTAAAAACAGTTAATCTCGCCGACGACATTGGCGAAAAATGTCGTTACAGCGGCGAACGACAAACAACAAGCCTACAACAAGTCGATTTGTGCGAAACAAAGTATCGTTCGCCTCCGTTTAATTTTTATCCGATAGTCCGATGTCCGTTTGACAAGCGTGCTGTCGGAAGCCATATTTGTCAATAGATTCAGATATCTCGATATCTGCATATATCTGCTGGTTTTATTGTGAGAGAGAGAGAGATTTGTGTGTGCATCGCGATTACGCAGTCACTACGTAAATTTTGTTTTGCTAATATCAGAGTTACGTACGTCCACAGACGGACTTTGAGCTCAAAAGAACGTGTGTCGCGTTTACAAACGCGGTGTATCTCGTGAGCAAATGAAACAAAGAAAAAAACGGCAAAACGTTTCTCGTTCGTTTTTGATGCTGTTTTCTCCTCAAAAGCACTCGAAATTAAAGCTTTCTCGCTACGCGCGCGCGCGCGGAATACTCCGGATATGTATATATGTATATATTTTGTTGATGTCCGCTCTCTCTCTTTATCGCGTTAACGCGTTCATTGTTTATCGGCGATCGTCTTCGCTCATCGTTTCTGTTGCAGAAACTAATCGGATTACGGGCGAACGATCGTGACCTAAAATCGATTGTCGCGTCGTTTCGCGGTACGCTATGTAGCTGCATAGCGGTTAATTATTCCACAACGACGGGTGAGGAACGGGGGAGGAATATGGGGGAGAGCGAAGGGGAGGTAGAGATAATGGTGCGGGCTTTAATCGACACGTTATCGAGTGCGCTGCGCACGTGAACAAAAAGAAAAAAAAAAAAGTTTGCGAAAAGCACGAATCGCGCGGAGGAGCGCGGGGTGCGCTGAAACTATATAAACCTTCCCTCCCCCTTTTTTTATATGTATATATATATATATATATATACGTTAGAGAATAAAACTAGAAGAAATGACACGAGATTGCACGCTTTTCTCTCTCGAAAGAGCAATCACGAAAAAATTCGTCGAGATGTGTTATTTTCGTACAAAAACTCGAGCAAAAACGAGATCTCCGCGATTTCGCGGAGAAGGAAATGACGGCTGTGTGAAAAGAAAGCTCGGATTATACATTGAGAGAGGGGGGAGGAGAGGGAAAAAAAAAGTAGGTGGTCGCTGTTAACTATCGCGGTCAAACACATGCACCATCCTTACACTGTTATTCTCTGAAAGTGCGCTATTACATTCCGCAACCTGCAATCTACGGTAAAACGTACCGAACACATAATTACGCGCGCTTGCAAATTGTACAGATGTTGATTTTTTTTTCCTTTACGTAGAGCGGAAATCTCGTTGCGATTTCGACGAGCGTTCGACAGAGCGAACAATAATCTCCGCCGCGGAACTTTGCGGAAAAAGCCGAACTATAGCGTTCGATCGCGCGATTTTCGATCGCGGGACAGAAGAGAAGATCGAGATCAAGCGTGATGAGAAATTGATAAACAACGACGTTTTGCGCAACCGAAAAAAAAATTCGAGTTCGGTCTCTCGCCGGGCAGTTTTTCGGATTTCAATTGCGAACGCTCCGAGAGCCAGCCGTCATCAGGCCGACCCTGCTGTTCGTACTACGCAACCCCACGCAGATCCACACAGCTCCCGGCGGAGAGCTCACCACGCTATACCGACGTCGCGACCGCGGCTTTCTGCGTCGCGTTTCGCAGAGACCGTGAGGAAAGAGAGAGAGAGAGAGAGAGAGAGAGAGAGAGAGAGAGGACAACGCGAAAGCGTAATACGAGAAAGCGAAGAGGATAAAACATACTGGCAAACTAAGTATAAGAAAAACAAGAGAAGGAGAGAGCGATTGCGGTGCGTGGAAGCGAAAAACGTACTTTACGTGAGGCTGCAGATAAAAAAAGAAGAGTGAGAGAAGAAGAGAGAAAAAGAGTGAGCGAGTAAAAAAGAAAGAGAGAGAGAGAGAGAGCGAGAGACGGAGAGTGAGAGAGAAATAGAAAGAGAAAGAGAGAGAGAGAGAAATCGATCTTCAGAGTATACAGCACAGGAGAGAGAGAGAGAGAGAGAAAGAAAGAGAGAGAGAGAAAGAGAGAGAGAGAGAGAAAGAGAGAGAGAGAGAGAGAGAGAGAGAGAGAGAGAGACACACTTACGGCTTCCCGCGGCGGTGCGGGGTAGCATCCGTTCGTCGTCGTCCGTTGGCGAAACGTCGTCGTCAGCCGACAAGAGAGAAAGAAAGAGAAAGAGCGAAGAGAGAAAGGGGAAAAGAGAGAGAAAAAAAGAGAGAGAGATAGTGTGAATGAGAGAGAGAGAGAGAGAGAGAAAGAGAGCGCGAGGGTGCAATCCCCGAGAGTACGTAACTCTCCACGAACTAATTCGTCGCTCGTTCGCAAGAGGTGCGATATCGAGATCACAGTCCGAATCACCACCGATACATGGCAAAAATCACCCTTAGAGTTCTCTTCTTTCCTCCTTTAGGCCGGTCGTCCGCACTGGCGAACTGCTGTATTACGGAGGCTGCGAGTCTCGCAGACAAAAGGGGGTGAAAGAGAAAGAGGAAGAGATAGAGAGAGAGAGAGAAAGATACAGACAGAGAGAGAAAGAGTGAGAAAGACAGACAGGAACAGAGAATCCTTTCTGGGGGTTTCTTGTTCTGCGTTTCCTCTCGCGTTGTCTCAACGACGAGATCGAGAGAGGATGACTCCGATGACGGATGACAGTGTGATGCAACGTCGCGTCGACGACGACGACGACGACGGCGACGACGACGACGACGACGACGACGGCGGTAGCAGCGAGGGCTGACAGAACGGCAGGACGAAAACGGCGCAGCACAGAAAAAGAGAGAAGTAGGCCGGTTAACCGTTCAGGCCGCACTGAAGAGTCGAGCGAGCCGCGGGTTAGTGAGGGTGAACCGGCGGGCGGCCTGGCATCCCTCCTCTCGCAACCCCGACACGCACCCCCGCCACCGTAGCAGCCGCCACCGCCGCCGCCGCCGCCGTCGCCGCGCGTAGATCGCCGTTGCGGTGAGAAAAACGCACGTTTTATATTCTCCGTAGTATGAGTAATNCCGCCGCCGTCGCTTCGCCATCAGCCACCGAGCACCTACAACCCTCCTGCTGCCACCCCGTCAGCCGGTCGTTTTCGTTCGTTCGTTCGCTTGCTCGCTCGCTCGCCAGCTCGCTTACTCGCTCGCTTGCTCTCGTTACGTCGTCGCTCTGTTCTAACCTGTTAGAATGGCGGAGAATTCAGAACACGAAGCATATTTCGAGGGTGCTTTATTACACAGCTGTGTGTAATAGTACGAGAGAGATAATTGTACTGTTATATCACAACCACTGTCTCTTCTCTGTGTGTATAAATAGCACACGACGATAGAAAAGAAATTTGCACACAAATAAATCGTACTGTTGCAAACAATAATAAATTATTGCTTATAATTGTTTTTAAAAACTCGCTTCAAAAAACTACGTTCCAAACTACGTTCAATCGTATTATATTTCAATTTCGCTGGAAAAACATTTTTTTGTGTGCGAGAGAAAGAATTAAATTTAATAAGTCTCTCTTTGCGTCCCTTTAATTTCGCCGCTGATATTTAATCCTCTTGGCGTTTATTCGCGGTGCGCACAGCGGCGAATATACATATATATACATATATACACATGTATGTATATATCGTAAATCTATATATTTGAAAATCTGAAAATTTATTCGATAATATAAAATATTGCGCATCCGCGCGTGTCGCCCGACAAATGTGTGCGTTCGCGCGCCACGTGCGCGCACGTTCGGGTGCGATATAAAATTTCGACAAACAGAAGAATCTCAATTTTTTCCCCAATTTCACACGTGTCACGAATTACAATGCAATATTATACTTCGCAAATCTAAATCTAATCTCTCGCGTCTTGACAAAAGACACACACACACACACACACACACACACACACACACACACACACACACGTGAGAGTCTTGGCAAAAATAAAATACATCCGAGCAAACTTCATTTATTTGTTGCCAATTGTACACGAATGTGTGTTTTTTTTTATCTTTTGTAGATAAACTAGCGCAGATAAATTGCTGTGCAAATAGAAAAAAATTATATACTTCTTTTATACAGCAATTATTTTGGAAAACAGCGCTTTATATATGTCATAGCTTAATTTTTGTTTGTTCTGATAAATCAGTCAACTCAGGCGATATGTCGTAACTGATAAGAGATCTTAATGTAAACTGTGAATTCGGATATCGAGAATCTATATATGGCTGTGCTCGAACAATTGTTTTAATTATTGAGCTGTGCCGGCGCGCGATTATTTTATCGTACGTTAGTCGCACAATTGCAGAAACGACGCAAACTCGCACGTAATTAGCAGCATCGTGTGTGTGTGTGTGTGTGTTGTTTAAACTCTCTCTCTCTCTTTTGCGACTAGTAAGTATCTCAAAATGATCAAACTTTAATTGTGATTGCATCAATTGCAGCGTCGATCGATTAAAAGTTATTTGATATTTGTGTAAATTGTTCAATTGTTTTTTATTAATATTGAGATTTGCACCGCGTCTTTCTCCGATTTCAAACAAAGATTTTAAATCTTCGCGTTGTTGAAAAGTTTTAAATCTCTTCGCATCAATCACTCGTAACAAATCGCGATAGCGGCAATGGAGGATTTGTCAGATTTAAGGAAGATATCTTGACCTCTCTCTTTTATATTCTCTCTTTTTCCTTTCGAGAGAAGAAGTCGAATCGATCGTGTTTTCTACTTTGCGCGGAAAAATGAACCGTCTGGCGCTCGGACTTATCCTGATCTGTTGCCACGTTTCGGCGATTGAGATAAATGGTTATTGTAAGTAGATATATATCTATATAACACTCTCTGACAATGTGTGTCGGGTGATATATTTTCTTAAAAATATGTCGTTTTTTACATGGGTTTTGTCTTTCCCGACCGCCTGCTACATCTTCATTTTTAAGTAAATTTTTGCGCGAAAATTTATTTTGAGAAATAGAGAGAAAAAAATTTCGGTCTCTTTTATCTTTATAAACAATTAATTTTCGTCTCTGATTTATTATTTTCTCTCGTAAAACCGATAATATTTGTGCGACATTTGTGTGTGTTTTAGTTTCCCTACAATTTTTGTTACAATTTTTTATTCCACACTATACTGTGTAATTACATTTTACTCAAGAGTTGTGTTTGCAGCCGAGTACATATTGACGCAGAAACGTAACAAGTTCGAAGATTTCCTCGAGAATTTGAAGTCAATATTGAAGACGGGAAACGAGTCTCTCGGAATTCCGATTCTCGATCCGTTTGCCGCGGAGAAAGTGCCGATTAAAATCGATCAGGATGTGATAAAGTGCGTATAACACATTTTGAAACAATACATTTGTTGCTACTTTTCCAAAATTTCAATAATTGTCGTCAGAATTCTTTAGCTCGTAAATTAATGTTTTAATATTTCTTGATGTCGCGCAAAAGAACGACGCAGCGATTTTATTTCATATTTTTGCTTGACGATTTCTTTACGTTTTTCTCAGCTTGGACGTGCTTTTCAAAGACGTCGACGCGAGAGGTTTATCCGAGTACAATGTCAACGGCGGTAATTTCAACATATTCGGATTAAAATTCTACATGAACCTCTCGTGGCCGTTGATATCCGCCAGAACTAATTACGACGTGAAAGGCAAAGCCTTTACTTACTTTGATGTCTACGGAAACGGAGAAATTAAGTGAGTGCATTTTGTTTGTTTGTTTTTTTTTTTTTTTTTTGAGAATCATCGAAATCAACATATCAATTTCGACAAAATCGATACTTTGCGATTTACAGATTGTTTACTGATAAAATCTTAATCAAATGTTTACATGTTTTACGTACACACATATGTAAATATTGATGATTTGTACATTAATATTTTATGCATTAACGTTCTTATTATTTTTATAATTGTTTCTGGGTCATCCGCGCTTCATCGTCTGGCGGAGGATGACAGCTTTCCGTTTCGCTCCGTTCATATTTAAATACGCGCAATGTTTGAAATATACACACGTGAAAAAGCGAAAGCTCAGATGACTGACAATGAATCAGCCGTTTTCTCATTCACCCGCTTTCGCGGCTTTATCGGGCAATGTCAACCGCAATAATACGCGTTATTAAATCGTAACAGAATTTATATATCAATCTGCGCGAATTGTATTTTTATTTTTATTTTTTTATTTTTTTTATTTTTTTTACCATCTCGAAAGCGAGATTGCGCAGATTTTTCGACGAAACCTCTTTTCAAACGAGATAATTTTATTTTTTTCATCATCAAATGTATTTATACAACGCTCTTTTAATAATTAAAAAATACAAGAACCCAATTAGAAAGAAAGAGAGAGAGAGAGAGAGAGAGAGAAAGAAGAAAAGTTATAAAACTGAAAACGCAAATATATTTCATTTTCAGAATGTCCGCACACGATTTGACTTGCGAAGCGGAAATTCACTTTGCATTGAACAACCGATATCTCAAAGTGAAAAAAGTGAAAACGAGCGTTTTTTTGAAAGCATTGAATGTAAGTATATCCCCAGAGGCTATGAATCTTGATGTATTCGTAAGAGTTTTGTAGCTAGAACTGGAAGCACACAGCTTTATTTATTGACACAGCATAAGTTATATTCTCTGCTTTTTTCTGTGATTTGCTAGTTATTCAAGTTGCGTTTTATTATTAATAGCTTTGCGTTAACGATTTATTTATCTTTTCTTCTTTTTCGTAGATTTAGTTTTTTTTTTTTATTGTTCGCAGTTTCGCTTAACGGGCCTGTTCGATCACGACGAACTGTCCGTATTGTTGAGCGCCGTAACGTCCGATATGGTGCCACAGCTGATTTACGATTATCAAGATTTGATTGCGAAAAATCTAAATTTTGTTATAACAGATAAACTCAACGCATTTTTGTCTGATAAAACATTGAAAGATTTCTTGGAATTGATTTTTGATATTTCCAAGTGTCACAACTGCGTTATCATTTAATCTGGAGTACGCGACATGTGTCATTATTTTAAGTCAACTCGCTTTATGAGAATATTTGTGCGTCTTCTTCCTTTTTTTTTTTTTGTCTTATTTGTTCGCTAAATTTTTGCCAACCTAAACATATGTGACACTCAAACTCTTAGAAAGATCAGTGATGAGAAAACGAGAAAAAATAAGAAAGTTCTCTTTTCAAGTTCCTACGTGTTTACAACACTCTTATCTCGTTCTGACACTGTGCCACTAATTGCGTTAGAAGTTGCTCGACACGAGACGCTTCGTAATCTAATCTTTGTTTTCAATGTTACTCAATAAGACGCAGATTTTGTTTTCAAATTATAATAAATTCTTGAAAGAAAAACAACAATTTGAATAAAATAATTCTTTAAAGAAAAACAACAACTAATCTCTTTTCGTTGATAACGTGATTCTCCAAACGCAAGATTGATTTACATGTTGTTAGAACAAACAAACAACACAAAAATGCGGTCACGCGAGAGCAGATAAACAATAAAATGTAAAGTCTGTTGTAGATAACAAAGAAAAATCTATATCTCACGTGCGTTTTTTAATCGAGATCAATTCAATCTCTTTAAAATGATTGGGCGAGGTCGAACTGGTGTGCTTACATATTCGATAAGAAATTCCAATGTCCACAAGATCTATATTTATATATATTCGTCGCACGAGCTTCACAATCAACTCGCAGTTTTGATCTTCGTCATTTTTTTTTTAACTTGAACAAGTCTTGCGATATTGTAAATAAGTTGCAAAACCTACAGGCAGAAAAAAGGTAACGTGAACCGACTCGCGACGACAACTCGTACGGTAATCAAACGTATATCGTATTTTTCTCCGCAAACAAGAAAATATCCACGTGTATCCATCAAAAAAGTGTGCAATATGTATTATAAATTTACTTCGCAAAAATTGATGTAAAACTTTACGAGAGTTTTTCTGTTTCGCTTCTTTTCTGTCGAGTAACACGCGCGTACGCACACGCGTTACACGCAAGGATTCAATTTGATAATTTTTGTGTAATATTTTTGAGAGACAAACAGAAGCAAATCTTCTCACGCAACGTGTAACTTGCAATTGATCAGTGACGACGACAATTGCATATTTTACAATGAAAGATATATCTTAAACTTTCTCGATCATCTTCAAGAAAATTAAATAATTAAATTAAACACAGTGTTTTAATTAAGTCAAAGTAATCAATGACTTTGTTCACTTTGTTCAGAAACATGAATTTCGTGACGTTTGCGATCCTCTTGATGGTCTGCGGCCACGCTTGTTCGCACGTAATTCACTCATCTAACGAAAGTAAGATATATCACGATTGTGCATCTTAATTTATCTAATTGCAGTAATGTGTGCTTTTGTGCGCTATATTATTTTATTAGATATATTTGTAAAAAATATTTCTCTGTTTTACTATCAACTATATAGCGATTACACACACGTCAGCAAGTTTGATTTTTGTCCGCAGAGTACATCGATTTGTCAAGCTTCGTCGACAAGATAAAGAGCATAATGAAGACCGGAAATGACTCGCTAGGAATTCCGGTCCTCGATCCGCTCGTTGTAGACGAATTGCCGATTAAACTCGACGAAAAGGGACTAAGGTACGTGTCGTTTTGACTAATGCAAATTTAAATGATACTTGCAAATTTCATTTTTACAAATGTAAAAGGAACGAAAAACAAACGGATGTTTTTGTGATTTTAGAATATCCTGACACGCACTCTCTCTTTCTCGACAGAAAATTATTTTTAGTCAAATATATATTATATGTATATATATATATATTTTTTTTTTATTCTTTGCATATGGACTGTTCTCTATTTATCGTCGAATTAGAACACAAACAGAACGTCAGCAAATATACAAGATACCGTTAATAAATTGAAAGAAATTTGTTATCTTTATATTTCTGGCACGATTTCAGCTTGAACGCGACTCTCAGGAACGCCAGGGTGGACGGTCTGTCCGACTTCGACTTGATTGAAGGCGATTTTAACATAGGAAAATTTAAACTCGTCCTGAATATATCGTTGCCGTTGATAATAGCGAACACCGAGTACGAATTGAAAGCCAAAGCTGATATTTTCCAGATCTACGGCGAGGGTTTGATAAAGTGAGTGACTTATTTTTGTTCGAAATCGACATAATGTGCGTCGTTGATTTTAGAATTCTTGACACATCAAGCGAATACAAACGAAAACATCAAAAATGTCGTCAAAATATTAAGTCACAAAATTGCTAAAGATACATAAACATTCTGCTTTCAGAGCATCCGTGCGTGACTTCGCTTTCGAATTGGATATTGAATTTTCATTGAAGGACGGATATCTCAAAGTGAAGGAGATAACAACAGGTCTTTCCTTGAGATTATTAGATGTAAGTAAGATGTTTTTTTAATTCTCAACGAATTTTCATGTAAGAGATAAGTTTTGCAAAACAGAAGGAAGAAGAAAGAATTTGCAGATTATTTAATTGCAAGAATAGTACCTTGAATGAACATAATTTTACTCTTTAACTAACTTTGATGTCTATAAGGTGACACGCTCGTTTAAGTCGCTTTATAAAATATTCTATTATCTGTTAATATTTTTCTCGAATTTTTAATCGATGATTTTCTATTCAGAAATTGTCTGAGAAAATATTTTCGTTTTACTTTGCTATGAGTATGTTTCTATTATTTGTGCAGTTTCAAGCAACAGGCCTCTTCGACGACGAAGAATTGTCCAAATTAGTGAGTACCATAATTTCTGACTTAGCGCCCGATTTCATTCAGGATTACCAAGACGTGATCACGGAAAAACTTAACTCTATTATTACCGAAATGCTCAACGATTTTCTGGACAAGCACTCGTTGTCAGAAATACTGGGCTGGGTACTTGGTTGATAGTTGATATTGTATGTCTTATTGATTGTACGATAAGTTTTGTACATATTGTTATCTGAATCGACAATAGCAATAAAATATAATTATATATATATATATATATATATATATATATATAT